GAGAGGGTGCTGGGGGCGCATCCCAAGGACGTACCCCATCACAGGGCGAGGGTCTGTCAGTCTGTCCTAGAATTAGAACCCCTCAGGGGGGTGGCTGTCATAGGAACAGGCTGGTTGTACCTGTGTAGGCAAGTCTGATCTTTTCTGACAGTCAGGTGGCTGAGGGATTTGATAATGGGGCCGGGCTTTGCCATGTTAGACACAAGGAAGACATTTTCTATAAACCTATGGAGCTGAATCTACAGCCCTGTAGGTTTTGATTAAGATTTATTTAAAGTGCGCATGCAGTCTACCAACAATTCTATTCATAATATACGACTTAAAAAAAAACAATCAGATGCCAACTTCCAAGTGGGAGTGGGTTATATATACACCTAGGCATTCCCAAAATGGAGACTTGATAAAAACTTGGAAATCATCCACTTCATTAAGTCCGCACCCCAGAGTCTCATCTCTGACTTGAACTGGCCTGACCTCCTCTCAGGACGCACCGAGTGGCTGCTGGGTACAATCTTGATGCCATTCTGCCATTACTGGAAGGGAACCTTCCACAAACTTCATCCTTCTCAGCCTCTGTTTTCACCTGTAAAATAGGATAATATCCTCCTTACCGGGAGACAGTGAGTGGGTGAGGGTCAGGCGGTAAGCTGCGTGCAGGCGGAAGGGGTGGCCGCCCGCCCGGCCACAGGCTGCAGACCTGCCCTTTCCCAATGCCTCTCACCGGAGCCCTGCATCCTCCCACTTCCTCCTCCTCCTCCTCTCTTTGGAATTGGTTCATTTAGAGGTGCTTGGCTGGAGGCTGAGAGTGCGTCTAACAAAATCAGGCACCCAGAGAAGGTCCAGGTTGGGGGTGGGGGAGCAAATGTTGATATGTTGGGTAGAGGAGCCCAGTGGGCAGCTGCTCTGTGAAAGGCAAGGCACTAGGCCCTGTCGCCATTCACATGTTAATCTGCACAATCACCCCATTTGTGAGGCTGAGGGAGGAGGAGAAACTTGCCTGGTAAGTGGCCTGGCTGCAATCTGAACCCGCATCTATCTGACTCCAACATCCCATAGACTGGGTCTCTTAAACTTTCTGAAAATACTGCCTGGCACGGAGGCCTGCGTGTTTCCCAAACGCCCCAAAATCCTTTTATGGAGGGTTTAAGTCCTGTATACCCATTTGGTCCATAATTTGAACCACAATTTCTGTGTCTGTAGGAGAGAGGGGAGGGAATAGGCCAGGCATCAGAAAGTGTTTCCCCAACACTTACTCTGAGCCTCAAGGCCCTGGGCTTGGTCACTGGAGGTCATAGAAGTGTATGTCCTTAGTCTTGTCAGGGGCTCACCGACTGGCTGGGACCAGATTTTGGAAGGCCATAGCTATTGCATTGGCTTGCTCAGGTGAAAACGGCTGTCTGCCGGGGCTTGGGCACAGATGACTCCCAGGAGGAAAAGCTGTCTCACCTGGGCTCTGAAGGATGAGCAGAAGTTTGCAAGGCAGTTATGGCAAGAGGTACAGGGACCAGCATGGGCACAGGCTGGGTGGAAGCCAGCTTGCCTGGGACAGTGAGCACACTGGGCAGCCAGGGGAATGACAAAGGAAGAAGGACAGAGAGGTAGTGGACACCACACACAGGGCTTTCAAAAGAGGATGTCTGAGGCAAAAAATACTTGAAGGTGGAAACTTGAGCCCTTGGGGCTGGGGCTATATGGTCAGGTTAGCAGACAGAAATGCGGTATTTGGGGCAGGAAATAAACTTTGCTGGAGGGCCACATGGCTTCAGATGTGGCCAGGCCTTCCTCGATCTTAAGTCGAAGCCCGCTTCAGTTCTGGGGAAGCCCCTGGGTGTGTGTGCGGTGGGAGGCAAGGACACAGCTCTTGGACCCACCGGAAGGGACGGTTATGGTGTTCACCAGCATTTGTGATCGATTACCAAAGGCCTCCATGACTCTCCTAAGACCTGGTTGTTTATTTGGAAGGCAGATGCTGCTTCTGTCCAGCGGGGACAAAGAACTTGCACCAGGTGTTGCGTTGGGAGTTCAGTTCTGAATAAGTGATTCTTTCTCCCTGGAAAATAGGGGGAGCAATAGTGTCCTTCTCTGGATTCATTCAGAAGGTGTCCTGGGGAGTAGGGGCACGGAGGAGGAGCAGCCCCAACTTTTACTGGGACGAGACAATCCTGTCATATCTTGAGGCCAGGCCCTGGCCAGGGTTGTTTCCAGAGATGGGATCAATCTTTCCTGGACACTGCTGGAGTAGGCTTTCCACTGCACAGATGCAAGCTTGAACTGGCTCCTTAACTTTCCATGGCTCCCTACTACCCTCCAGATAAAGCCTAAATTCTTTAACTTGACCAACAAGGCCCTTCACTGACAGGCTCATGTGGCCTTTCCTGTCCTCTCTGAGGCCTCTTTCTGCCTCCCACCCCCAGCTTCTGGCCACACTGAATTATGGTCAGTTCCTCCAAAGCCTGCTGTTCCTTTGGACTCTTCTGCTGGAACCTCTCCTTCGTCCCCTACTTTCCAGGCTATTTGTGCATATGATTCAGGACCCCGCCCCCCGCAATGCTACTTCTTGGAGGTCTCCCCAGCTTGTCAGCACCTCTGGCTTCTCTCTCATTGCTCAGCTCTCTACTTTGTTATTACTTATCCATCCTTCCCATAAGGCTGTCAGAGGGAGCTCTGTAAGTATCCACTGAATGAATGAATGAATGAAAGGGGGGCAGTTCTAAGAAAAAAGGGGTCGCTGTAACTGGCCAAATGTCTGGACAGGTATCTACGCCAGCAGGGTAGGAATTCTCAGCAACCACAATTTAAAGATGAGGTAACTGAGGCTAAAGTAATGTCATTTTGCCTGGCACTCCAGTTCCTCAGCACCTGTGGGTGAGACCTGGTGCTGGGCCTTCTCATGTACACTGTTGAGAGGGATGCTGGGTAAGAGGAAGAAATGTTAGACCAGTCTCACCAGGTGACAATTAGCATTCTGAGACCTTGTACAAGGGCTTAATCTTTCAGACCTCAGTTCTTCACATGGCCACTAAAAGAGTTAAAGGAAGCAATGCACGTCAAATGCCCTGTGTTGTGTCTAATACACAACACAGACTCAGCAAGTATTTACTGATTCTAATCTGCCTTAAGGATGGGAGGCCCAGAAAAGGTCCCTGAGGTGAGGTGAGGAGGGCAAGACAGAGCCCCATCCCTTCTTCAGCCACTTTGGGAGCCAGTGTTCTTATGAGAGCGTGTGGCCCTCTGGGTCTCCTCAGCCCAGTCCTGGCACATGTGAGGTGACCGGCCAGGGCCTGCTGTGTTGGGAGTCTCCAGAGGGGGCTGCTACGGTTGAGACCTCGGCAGCCAAGTTCTACTCTAAGAGGCAGGAAGGGCCTGCTGAGGTCACCCCAGGGAAGTCCCAGAGTTTTTCTGTGGGTTCCAGTCTTCTCCCCTGGATCCATCAGTAAGGAACCTGCTCATGCTCAGTGCCCTGTCCCTCTCTAGCCCCAACTCCTCTGCCACGGGGCCTGGGAGGTTGGAATGAGGAATTTCTGCAGGCCGGCGATGTCCAGAGGTTACCTCTGGACCCACTGCCCAGCCCCTCTTCACACTTTGGCACCTTTACTTGACTTTTTCTGAGGCCTGGGGCTTCCTGAGGCAGGCATCTCATCTTTTATTTCCCCAGCACCCAGCATTCTGCCTGGAATGCAGGAAATGGTTCCTAAATGGAGCACTCATTAAGCGCTTAGTCCGAAGGCCCCTAACACTTACCTTTACCTTATGGGATCCTCACAGCTGCCCCGTGGATGGAAAGCCACAGGGGAGGAAACTGAGGTTTGGGTCTAAGTGTCTGGCTCAAGGCCCTACAGTGGCAGCTCCCAGGCCCTCAGGATGGCCCATGGGAAAGTAAAGGGTTGAGAGGAATCTTGATGAATTGGGGCAATTAGCAGGGGATAATTGTCAGTCAGAAATAATTGACTCAAATTATTAGGTGTGAAGAAGGAACCAGCCAGAGCCTCCCCACTGAACTGCCCAGAGGAGTTAGTTGGAGTAACTCCTTAGCAGGACAAAGGGCTGATGGTCCCTGAGGGTGGACCCTAGGGTGTAGACGCAGCTCTTTTCTGGCTGGTCCCAGCATGCAGGACACTGCCAACCTGACTTTGCTCCTAAGAACCTCCAGGGGACCTCATTCTCTTCCACAGAAGGAGGCACCCTGGGGAACATTGGTCCCTCATCATTCTGGTTCCAGGGGGCACCTTCCTTGTGAGAAAGCTTGCTTGCTCTTGGCAGGGTCTGCGCCCCAGCACTTGCTGTGGGCCAAGGACCCAGACGATGCCTTCACCGCTGGACTGAGCTCCGAGCCTGGCCAGGGTGCAGGTGAGGAAGGCTGGAGGGACTTCTGCTCAGATGCCGTGTACGTCAATGCCAAAGGTGGCCTTTCTCCCAGGTGGGCTCACAGGTTAACAGAAGGGCTGTGGGTAGTCCCTCCACATACAATAATTATGTACAGTTACTAAGCCCTGGGAGGAATGGTAGTCACGTGGCTCTCGAGGGCGGTGCTCTCAGCTTTTAGATGGTGTTAACTCTAATCACTGAAGGCTTTCTGGAGGAGGTGGGATTTTTTTTTTTTTCTTTAAATTTTTAAATGGCTGTCGATTGTGGCTCTCTCTGAACAGTGAGGATGCACTTAACACTCTAGGGACCGGCTAGCTCCCGAGGTGAGCTTTCTGCTGAGGAGCAAGCCCAGGGGGTCCGACCGGGTTGGGGGAAGGGCCTGGGGGGCTGGAGTTGCGCGGCCAACCTAGGCTTGGGTTCCCGGACCTGTCCTTGTGCGTTCTTGGATGACTGAACGCACCGTGGCCGCACTAGGCCGGTGCTGCGGGGCCGCGGGCGCTGGGTGCAGGCCTTGAAGTCCGGGGCGCGGGAGAGCAGAGCGCCCCAGGCCGGGGATTAGGCCAGCAGACTTGGCCGGGCCAGCCCGGCGATCCGCCCTCCCAGCACAATTCCACCGGGGTCCCGGTGCCCGGCCCTCAAGGGCGAGGCGCGCGCTCCTCGGGGAGCCGGGCTGCTGAGCAGGCGGCCTGCGCCCGGCTCTGGTGGCACGAGAGGGCCATCTGCCTGGGTGCTGAGAACTGCAGCGTCTGCGGTGCGAGGTGCGGCCCCTCCGGGCCCGGAGCCCGCGTCCCCCATCCCGCGCGCACGCATCGACCGACGCCCGCCCGCGCCCGCGGCCCGAGTCCCCGTGCCAGGCCCAGACCCAGACTAGGCGCGGGAGGCGGTGCAGGGATTAGTGGACCCCTCCCCCAGCGCTCCCCCTGCCCCGCCCGAGGCAGCGAGGACCCCTGGGCCTTGGGGGTGGCGAGGGACCTTCGTCCCGGCAGGGCCCGGGCTCGGGACTCGGCCTCACTGGGCGGGGGCCGCACCTCGAGGTGCGGGCGCGCTGTCAGGCTGCAGCCCAGCTCGGGTGCGGGGGGTGGGCTCAGCGCGGGGGTCGCCCGGCCGCATCTCCCAGCCGAGGCCACGGCTGGGCGGGCAGTGCCCAGGCGGGTAACCCGACCCGACCCGGCTCCCGGTAGCCGCTCACCCCTCAAGGCCGGGCAGGGGGGAGGGAGAGGAATGGGGGGGAGGGGGAAGGGAAGGGGTGGTGGGTGAGGGGCTGTGGGGCCCGCAGGGCCGAGTCCCCAGCCTGTCTGCGTTGCTCTACGGCGGCTGCTCGCGGCGCCCAGGACGAGCCAGCCCCCTGCCTCGCGGGCGTCGGGCCTGCGGCAGGAGGGAGCCCTGGGGCTGCACTGGCTTGGCTCGGGAAGGCAGACCCGAGCTGCTGCCTCCATTTTGTTTCCTGCTCTGCTTGGTCTGTGGTGGTGGTGTGGGTTTGGGGTGCGGCCGAGCAAGGGGGTTCACCTGCGGCCGTGCCTGCTCGGGGCCTGAGGCCTCGAAGACCCCAGCCCGAGCCCCCAGGTGAGCCCCGCGGTAGGAGGGGGGTTGCCTTGGCCTCGGGCCGAGCAGAGCGGGCTGAGGGCAGGTGCCCAGTGGATGGGGAGCCCGGGCTGTAACCTAAGATGGAGGCCGGGACTGACGCGGGCCCGAGCAGGGCTGGCGGGGCGGTCGGACAGGCCTCAGCCAGGCCAGGTGCCGCCGGCGTTGGGGCTCGAGACGGGTAGGGTGTTGGTGCTGTGGGCAGCCCGGGGCCAGCGCAGCGCCCCGAGGTAGGTGAGGGGATCGGAGTGCCACCCACGACGCCCGCAGGCCCCGACTCTCCAGGGAGGCGCGTGAGGCCCCTGGGGAGACCGCCTCAGGCCCCGCCCGGGCGGTCGGGCCGCCCGTAGGCCCCGGCCGCGAGCGGGCGCGCAGGGGGAGGGGAGAGGGGGAGGCAGCGGCGGCTCCGCTGATTGGGCGGCGCGCTCGCGAGCCCGACTTCACCCGCCCTGAACCCCGAAGAGTAGGCGAGGGGGCGCGCGCGGTGGGGGCAGGGGTGCGCGCGCACTCGGGGCCCAGCCGCACGCGGGCGGGCGCGAGGCGCTCGATCGCACGCGCCGCCGCCGCCGCCGCCGCGGGGGCGCGCGCGGTGGGGGTGTGAGGAGGAGGAGGTGGCGGCGGACTAGGCCAGGGCAGGTCGCGCTCGCTGCCTTCTCCCCTGAAGAGAGACGCGGGGGGAGGGGGGTGCGGCGAGCGGCTCCGCTCTCTCCTCACCGCTCCGCTCGCGCCCCAGTGTAATGAGGGTCACCCCCTCCCCCCAGCCGGCCCGGGAGGGGGCGCGGGGCACGGTAACTAGTGCATTGAGGTGGGCGGCGGGCGGGCACGAGGAAGAGGGAGGCGGCGGCCGGGTGGGGAAGATGGTGGTGGCCGTGAGGTGAGGGGCGCGGGGGAGGGCCGGGTGCGGCGCGGGGTTGGTGGCCGGCGGCGTTGCAGCCGCGGGCCCCCTCCTCCTTCGTCACTACCAGCCGGGCTCAGGCCTACCCAGCTGGGCTACCGCGAACTTCCTCCCGGCACGGCCCGTGCCCCGCCGGCCTCCCGCGCGCACCTCGGCCTCTGCCTCCCCTCAGGTAGCCGGCTGCGGGGCGCGGGGCCGGCAGCCCTCCCGCAGTAAACTTTGCTTGCTGCTGAATATTGATGAGTGCAATCGGCTCGGCCAGGAGGTGCTGCCGCGGCTGCGGGAAGGAGCGCGGCCCGGGCAGGCGGCGGCGGCGTCGGCAGCAGCCATGTTTGTCAAGCTGTAGCAGCAGCTGCTGCTGTCCTGACTTGGCTTCACCGGCTGCCTCCGTTTCTCCCCCTGCGGCGTCTCAGCCTCTGGGCCCTGCAGCCGTGGACCCAGGCGGCCTGCAGTCAGGAAGGCGAGCTTCGGGGTGCACCCGCTTCGGCCGACTGGCCCGCGGCCTGGGTACGGCCGCTGCGAGGGCTCCGGCGCCGGCTGGGCGCAGGCTGCAGCGCTATTGTGACCGCTGCGCCCGATCGAGCCGGGAAGGGGGGGTGGGTAACCTTTTTGTGCAGCGTCTGGGACCCCCGTCTCGAACCCCACTTCCTTCTCCCTTCGGGAGATCCAGCCGCTGGATCCTCAGCGAGGGAGGAGGAAGACGATTCCTATTTGAGATGCTGGAATTTTTACTGCCAAAAGGATTTTAATTTTAGTTCAGCCCAACTGTCCACCAGTCTGCAGTGCAGGAAAAAGGGACGGGATGTTTCCATGTGGCAAGATCTGCCCAGCTCCAGGAAGATGGAGTTTGTGAAGGCTTACTGAGGCCATTTTTCCATCATCAGCTGGGGAACTTTTCTGCCCATCGAAGTGCAGCAGAAAGGCATCGAGGCCACTAGGCCTTGAGAAGTGGCTGCCATTTTGAAGATAAGAGTCAAATGGCCTATTAACTCAGATTAATTGCTGTGTTTTGGATTCCAGGTTGATGCTGGCGCAGGATGGATCAGACCTGTGAACTACCTAGAAGAAACTGTCTGCTGCCCTTTTCCAATCCAGTGAATTTAGATGCCCCTGAAGACAAGGACAGCCCTTTCGGTAATGGTCAATCCAATTTTTCTGAGCCACTTAATGGGTGTACTATGCAGTTATCGACTGCCAGTGGAACATCCCAAAATGCTTATGGACAAGATTCTCCATCTTGTTACATTCCACTGCGGAGACTACAGGATTTGGCCTCCATGATCAATGTAGAGTATTTAAATGGGTCTGCAGATGGATCAGAATCCTTTCAAGACCCTGAAAACAGTGATTCAAGAGCTCAGTCGCCAATTGTTTGCACTTCCTTGAGTCCTGGTGGTCCAACAGCACTTGCTATGAAACAGGAACTCTCTTGTAATAACTCCCCCGAACTCCAGGTAAAAGTAACAAAGACTGTCAAGAATGGCTTTCTGCACTTTGAGAATTTTACTTGTGTGGACGATGCAGATGTAGATTCTGAAATGGACCCAAAACAGCCAGTCACAAAGGATGAGAGTATAGAGGAGATCTTTGAGGAAACTCAGACCAATGCCACCTGCAATTATGAGCCTAAATCAGAGAATGGTGTAGACGTGGCCATGGGAAATGAACAAGACAGCACACCAGAGAGTAGAGATGGTGCAGTCAAATCGCCATTCTTGCCATTAGCTCCTCAAACTGAAACACAGAAAAATAAGCAAAGAAATGAAGTGGACGGCAGCAATGAAAAAGCAGCCCTTCTCCCAGCCCCCTTTTCGCTAGGAGATACAAACGTTACCGTAGAAGAGCAATTAAACTCAATAAATTTATCTTTTCAGGATGATCCAGACTCCAGTACCAGTACATTAGGAAACATGCTAGAATTACCTGGAACTTCATCATCATCTACTTCACAGGAATTGCAATTTGTAAGCAGTTTTTGGTACAACTTAAATATATACATAAATGTATATATATACAGGCAACTTAAAGAGAAACATAACTAGTTGGTTTTTGGTTGCTTATCACTTCACAGCTGAAGGCCTATTGCTAATGATAAGGTTTTGGGTAAATTTTTGCTTTGATTTTTAAATTTATCTGTATAGATATTCCCAATGAACCCTCCTTTGAGGACTAAGTTAAACTTTTAAGGGCATTTGATTTAGTTCAAATTTAATTTTTCAAAATGGAGGTATACATTTATTTAGTTTTTTCTGTTTTTTGTTTTTTTGAAGTGGGTTTTGGCTTGTTGGTATTGTGAGTTACAGGTGAATCAATTCATTGGAGTCTTGTTTCCACATAGGGCATGGCTTATTTTCTTAGTTGATGGGCGACTCTTGCTTCAGGTTGAAGTCCATTTTGTGCATAAATTGAAAGTAGTTAAGATGAGTTGGACTTCTTAGACATCAGTCAGATTTCCCCCTAACAAATGTTTCTGAAATACTATGTTAAGATTTAACTGGAATTTTATGGTGTGTGGTGATTGTTTTGAGTGCATTAAATATCCACTTTACCATGTAGCCCTGCTGTTCTTTAGAGTTACAATAGGAGAAAGTGGGTGTGTCGCTTTTGTTTCTATTGATTCATATCTTAAATATGCTTCATTACTTCTTGGTTTCTCTTGGCAGTTGTAGATTTAAAAATTCTGTTTTGGTAGTTATCTTGAGCCTGTATTGTCCTAGATTTAGAGTGGATAAGCTGTGTTGGCAACCTATTGGCAGCTCAGACAAATCCTTTTTCTTGGGTTTACATTGGCATTTATTATATATATACACACACACACACACACACACACACACAGTAGGTTTACAGTTGTGAGTATACGAAACAGTGTATTCTTGCATTGTCATTTATAAATTGTATTTTTCATACAGACAGCTGTAAACCTACTTTTGCCTCCCCAATATAGTTTTGCTTTTGTATTTACATGAAAATGTAGGTAAAACGGTGGAGATAGGTGGTCCTCTAGAAGCATACAAATAGAAGTAGTAATCTCACCTTTGATTCTCATCAAAGAGATATCAGTGGAGTATTGGTTCTGTCAAAAAAAAAAAAAAGGAAAATATTGGAGCCTATAGACAATATCTTATGCATCTAAAATGGAAGTTAGCAAAGTTGTATAAATGTAGAACTGTTTTTTAGGCAGAAAATCTAAACTGTTCAAAGGCTCTGTGGGCTTGAAAAAGCAAGTATCTTTAATTTATTCTTTTAGGCCTTTGATTCAAGGTTGTGGATGAAATCTATTGCTTTGATTTTTGCCTTTGATATTTTTTAACTGAGGATTTAAAAAAGTGAAGTCAATCTCAAAATGCAAATTTAGCTGACTAGTGTAGCTTGGGGAAGGTATAATGAAAAATTGTATATAGCTACACACTATTGATGTGTTCAGACTATTCACAGTTGTTTCATTGATGCAGCCGTTATAGGGCACTTAACTTTGGATTGGGTCCTGTGCTCAGGGCTGGAAATTTTAGAAAATCCTTCGCAAATGCTGTTCGTCATTTATCTTGTGTGTAATACTGTGATAGAATAAGATACACTTGGCAAAAGTAATAGTAGTTATTAGGATAGTAAACCCCATGGTTGGAATTAGATAAAGATACATAATAGACCATATTGTCTGTTGTTTTGTATATTTAGCTATAAGCAGACTGTTTGCCTTCTGTAATAAATGAGCAGCCTCTTCAATTATATTCTTCTCATACAGTGATGTGAAATGATTGTCAGTATAGTTAATAATCCTGACCTGGTGCTTTTATATTTAATTGAGTTGATATTGTCTGATTCCTGCCATTGTACATAGTATCATGTGCATATACAGCTTTATACATTGTAGGTGCTGGATAAAATCTTGAAGAAGGTTGGTCTCGGAGCTCCAAGTTTAAATAGGCAATACCCCAGTTTATTAAGTATTTTGGTCTGCATTGTTTCATTGGGCCTTCATAGACTTTTAGTAAAAATGGGATATTGTAGAAGATGTAGATTTACCTTCAAAGCACTTGAGATTACTGGAGACAATACTGAAAACCACTGAAATCATAGAATTATCTGAGTACTCTTGACTTCTTGTTTTGTTTTGTTTTTTCCTCTTGGCTTTCTTTAGTGACTTCTGAAGGTCTCTGACACTTGTCTGGGCCTGAAGTAAATCCTGGTGTTTTCACTAGGCTAATTTGCAGTAGTTGTTTGTTTTCTACTCTTCCTCACTTAGATATTTTATGGAGAATACATATGCTATTGCGGTATTCATGAATTTGGGGATCCTCATAGTTCTTAGGATGTAGCCAGCCCTAAGATGATCTGATGTACATACTGTACTGGTGATCCTCTTTCTAAAAAAGACAGCTAAAAATGAACATACGTAAAATGGGGACTAACAACTTACAAGTAAATAGGGAGAAAAAGGATTATTTAGGATTTTATATTGAAAAGTAAAATTCAGAATTATGAAAATAATTTTTTTAACCATTTATACAAATTTTAGTTATATGGTAACTATTTATTATGGAGGAAGAATCCAGTAGATTAAAAAAAATTTTGTCCAGCCCTGGCTAGTGTGGCTCAGTGGATTGTCAGCCTGCAAACTGAAAAGTCGCCAGTTCCATTCCCAGGTAGGGCACATGATTGGAATGTGGGCCAGGTCCCCAGTTGGGGGCGTGCGGGAGGCAACTGATCTGTGGATCTCTTGCACATCTATGTTTCTCTCCTTTCTCTCTTCCTTCCCTTCTTTCTAAAAATAAATAAAATTAAAAAAAAAGTTTTGTCCAGTGAAATTGTCCAATAAGGAAATGACATACTTAGTTTTCTTCACTTTCTCATCATGATCATAAGGAAGATAAATTCTTATAAAAATACTTAAGGGCTTAATCAGTTTTAGTGAGGGTTTCTTTAAAAACATTTACTATGGAAAACTTCAAGCAGATACCAAAGAAGAGAGAATAGTAGAAATGCCTGTGCACTCTGCTCAGCTTCAAGAATTACAGATATTTTGCCAGTCTTGTTTTATCCTCCTTTTTATCATTCACTATCTCTTCTTAATCTTTAGGTATTCACAACACTCTTTTGAACCTCCTCTCCTGTTATTATCCTTGTCACTTGTTTACTAGTTGACCTAGAATTCAGATGTGTCCAACCTTTTGGTATCTCTGGGCCACACATTAAATACACAAACACTAACAAAAACTGATGAGCAAAAAAAAGGGTTTAAGTAAATTTATGATTTTGTGTTGGGTGGCGTTCATAGCCGCCCTGGGCCACGTGTTGCCTGTGGGCTGCAGGTTGGACACCCTGATCCTGGATCATCTTTTCCTTGTTTGTAATTGGAGTAGTTCTTTATTATTTACAGTGACTTTAAGAAACAGCACCTTTTGCTAGATTTGTAGTTTCACCTTGCAATTGATTTACATGGTACTCCTAGTTAGTGCCTCACTAGGTGGAGATAGATGCTATATTGTCTGAAGCGTGGACGTTTGAATAGACTTCCTTTTTGCCATTTAAAAATAGATACTTTGGTCTTCTAACAGTATTTGCCCTGTACAATTTTGGGGATTCAGAAAATAATTAAACCACTCCTGGACTAAGTTCTGTGCTACTGATGTTGAAGCAGTTAAGGAGATGAATGTAGAGATGAAACCTAGAGCAGTCAGGCTTTGAAGAAGAGCTTGGCTTTGGCCTTGGTTTAGAAGGGTACTTTGGATGTGGAGAATTAAATGAACATAGTATTTCTAGAAGGTTGTATAGATTGGAGGTAGTCAGATAATAGGGCATAGAAATCCAGACTGGCATTTGGTATTGATGTGATAGGAACCGGGAGTGGGCGAGGGATTTTAGCGGAAAAGTGATATGAAATCTGTGTTTGGAAAACTTTGGCTGGAGGAGAGTAAAGGCAAGGCTAGGATGCAGGAGTCTGTTGCAATGATAATTAAAA